CACACACACACACACACACACACACACACACTCAGACAGCGAGCAATGGCTGGGGAAGGGGCTGAGGTCATGGTCCACTGACTCTAGGCCCTGAGGTCAGCCGTAGCCAGAGTGGGATTCCTAACCCCAGGGAGGAGGCCAAGAAGCCCTTCCCACCACATCCCAGGGCTTCCAACCTTTGATTACCTAATGCCCTGGCCTCCGCAGGTGGGAGGACGCAGGAGAGCCATTAGGGCAGGAGCTGGAAGGGCACCCTGATGGCTGGCCACAGCTGCGATGTCCTCTGTGCCCATATCGGAGTCCATCTGCCCAGGGTCCATGCAGCGCTGGACCATCTGGCTTAGATGTTAAGTTCTTGTTTTATTTCCAGTTTCCAAGATGAACCTCCTCCTGGGGGGGGGGGGTCAGGTGGGTCTGTTTCAAATTTCACACCTGTTCACTTAAAGCTGTCACTACCTGCCCCATGCTTATGTTCCCCACCCTCTTCCCTGAAAACGGGAAGTGCCCAGGTCCTCTCCCTATCCATATGTGCTCCCTGTCCTGTGTGTTTGTGTGTAACTTCGCGTGTGGCCTCGGGATGCGTGTGATCCTCGGGATTTGAAAGTAACGAAACCTTCATTTCCCTGTCTCTCCTGATCATTGAATGGGTCGTCTATAGCTTAAAGATCCTACATTAAAAGTGTCACAGCAGAACCGAGACCTGGGACTTGGGATGAGAGGCAGGGAGGGTGAAAAACTGCTAGACAGAGGGGCACAGCAAAGTGACGGTGAAAAGTGGAGAAGCTCAGAAGCAGCAGCAGCACCCTCAGTGAGCTAGCAAGCCCACGCCCCTCAGTGCAAGAAAGGGCTCGCAAAGAGGTGCAGAGGGAAAATGAACAGCCGGTGTAGGCATTTACCCCTGGTGATGCCAACACATTAATACTGAAGATCAAAAAGAACAAGAAACTATAAAATGAGAACAGGTCCGGGTACTTTTAAAATGCAAGGAAATAGAGATCATTTAAGATCTTCAAGGTGCATATGTAACAAATAAAAACCAAATAAAGGGGATAAAGTCTATGCTTGACAGTAGAAAGGAAATGACATATATTGGAAGACAGGACACAGAAATCAATAAAAACAAAAATACACCAGAATCAAGTCAGTCTGCAGCCTCCATCTAGTAATTAAATGCTACCAAAAAGATGCTCCTGAGTACAGCAGCTCTCAAAAGCCAAAAGAAATCCACCCCAGGCCTCGAAAAACTGAGAAACATGCAGAATAGATCAAGAGGTTCCAGCATGCTGACGAGTTACAAAGAAAAGCATTTTTTAAACCCTACCAACAATGTACACATGTTCTTTTCTCCCCACATCTTTGCCAGAATTTTTTACTATTTATATTCTTGGTGCTTGCCATTCTAACCTGCTGCAATCTGGCTGGGCACAAAATCAGGAGCCCCTCAAGCAGGAACAAACTTTATTTCCAAAACTCCCAGGAACGCCACACCAACGGGAAATCCCTCCTCCGGAAATCCCTCCAACTCTCCGGGAAACCCCCTGAGAGCTCCAAAGTAGCAGGCCAAGGCGGACAGCAGGGGTCTAATATCCAATTGAATACACATCTTAACATAACCATTATCATCTCAATGGCTTTCTGGCATCACCTTTCAACCAAAAATGCCATGCTTTATTCCTACTCCTCTATGGCTCTCAGCACTGACCTGGGTGAGATGAGATCTCAGGGTAGTTTTGACTTGCATTTCCCTGGTTGCTAAGGACATTGAGCATATTTTCACATATTTGTTGACCATTTGTATTTCTTCTTTTGAGAAAAGTTGGGTTGAGTTTATCTGTGCATGTATTGATGCAGAAAGACAAGGGTCAAAAATGTTCTCTCATATGTGGAAGCTAGAAAGAATTAAGGAATAAGAAAGGGGAATCTCATAAAAATAGAAAGGAGAACAGAAGAGGAAGGGGAAGGGGAGAGAGCAGGGTGAGAAAAGGGAGGAAGTCCAGGAGGAGACCTACTGACCGTGGGCCGTGCTGTGTAAGTACATCACAGTGAATCCCGCTTCTATGTATGATTACAATGCACCAAGTAACAAATAAATAGAAAGAAGAACAATAAAGGAAGAGGTCAGGGGAGAGCAGAAGGAAGGAGAAGAGAAGTTCTGCAGAATAAGAGGAAACAAATTAACATCACCTTTACACGTGAAGATGAAACCCACTCATGTCTAACCATGACACCCAAATAAAAACACAAAAAAGAAAACATCAGAAAAAGGTAAAATAGAATATCAAAAATGGTTCTCTCTTTTAAACAGTGCATTTGGAGAGATCATGCAGTCTTCCTTAAAAAGTGATAGATTCATGAAGGGTAAACTGATTCAGGGAGTTAGGAATCTTCCTTTATTAACTGAACATTTAGACTTTTATTTAAACTCTTCTCTCTGTATATATTACTTCTTTATTATTTCCTGAATTTATAACTTCTACCGTCAAATTATTAAACAGTAGGCCACCCCCTTTGAGTGTGATGAAAGTCACGTTGAGTCAGAATTTCAGACCTGTCTCTCTGCACACCAGAGGGTGTGCCTGCCTGTTGGCTGCACAGTGCTCCTGGCTTCCGTGTTTTTATTATGTCGTTTGCGGCCCTAGACTCTCTCTAGCTGTGTTCTATCTTTCATTTACAAAATGTAGGACCTACATTTAAAATGGACACACATCAAAACACAAAGCCATCTCCGACTGCGGGAGAGCTGAGAGCCACCCTCCCTGGCCTTCATCAGGGATGGATTTCAGGACGACTGCTGCGGGCATCACAGGAAGCACAGGTGCAGCCGCAGTGATGGGGACAGGGCTTCAGGAAGCCAGTCAGCCAGGTCCACTAACTCTTGACCATAAAAATCACAAATGGCGCATGCTTGGAGACCTGGAGGAGAGGGAAGGTCCATTGCACTGATATTTAAAAGTGCTACTGTGTGCATGCACACACACACACACACACACACCCAAAAACAAAAAAACACCTTCGTTTGCAAGAGTTCATACAAATTTTTAAAATGCGCTTTGAGTGCAGAAGAAGAGTGATCTGTGGGGAAATGGAAACGCAGGTGGACACAATACAAAATTTTTAAATTAAATACAGAAGCCTGTTAGGTTGAACCTTGTTCAAGATAAAGCATCAATGCAGTGAAAGGGAGCCAGCTCAGACACAGCTAAGGGGCCATCCTCCAAGGAGGTCAGTGCCACGAACTTGAAGGCAGGCCGCAGGGAGCACGAGAGCCAGAACAGAAGGGGAATGGAGGGGTCTTGGCAGACCCACACTCCACATGGGAGGTGCCAATCCTCCCCCGTTAAACAGCAAGTGCTATGAGTTCTGCATGAGGCTGGAGGCAAGCGTGGGTGGCTCTTCAAGTCCTGATGGAAGGCTGTGAGCGAAATGCAGGCCTCACACTTGTCGGTCAAAGGGGAAGTCCTGCACATGATCTCGCACCACATCTGAACATCTGAACGCAATGCATAGCTTCAGCCATGCTAGATGGCGACCACGCAGAGCAGAGGTGACGACAGTCCTTACCTACGGGGCAAACCCCCAGGATCCAAGCCAGGGCCTATGTCCGACACCAGTGTTCCACGGTCTGAGGTCCGTGGTGAGAGATGAGTTCGGATCTGCAGGTGGAAGAGAGTCAGAATCCTCTTTCTATTCTGCCTCAGGAAACAGTGTGGTCAGCTTCACAGGAAGAGGAAGGAAGGGGCGCAGCAATCAGCTTTGTAAGCTTGTGATTGGTATGCTATTATTTTCTCAGTCCAAATAAATATTTATTTTCAGATCAGATTGGAATTGATGATTGTGTCCAGCTCAGACACAAAGTCCTAGTCCAGTGGCTGCTTGGCGTGGAGTTTAAAGGCCATGCAGGCACCCGAGCAGTCCAGACGCTGCCGCAGGACTCCATCACGGAGCCCAAACCCCCACGGAATCTCTCCACAAGTCTGCACGGTTTCCTTCCCTCGCTCTAGCAGGGCCTTGCCCAGGTGCAGTGACACTAGACGTCCCTTCTCCAGGTGAGACCAAGGAGGGCCCTGGGGTGGACATCCAGGGCTCTTGCCCGTGTCCATCCCGCCACCTCCCA